AGACTTAAGGAGTCATCATCATTGAATCTGTTGTGGCTGGAAGACTCCGATCTTCTCTGCAATCAGCTTTGTCACTAAAAACTCTTTCCAGCACCACCTTCAAGGGTTCTCTGGATCGATGCGTCTTTTCCTTCCAATTAAGAAGTAAATGAATGGATTAACACTGCTGTTGATAACAGCAGATACTACTCCAAATAATGCCATTATATATTAATATCAGGCAAGAAGATATTGAACAGTTATTATGACACTGAGTGGAACACCAAAAATGAGGAAGAAAAGAAGAGCAAGCAAGAGTGCTGTGTAGAACTTTCCTCGTTGGCGTCGATGTAAACTGCAGCAGAACTTGATGAAAAGGATCACAGTACAGATCACCACTACAAGTGTGCAAAATACAGAGTTGATAGTATGAATGACACAAATCATTATGTCAACGTCTGCATTTCAGTTGAAATGAAAAAGTGATAGATTCCAAAGACCAGAATGGACATTACCCATATAAATGCACAAACAATTTCAGACAGGTGTTCTAGACGGTGGCATCGATACCAGATTGGGAAGACAACAGAGAGACATTTCTCGGCACTGATGGCTGTCAGTAGATATAAGCTAATGACATGTGTGGAAATAAACAGTTCAATACAAAGCCCAAAGGAAACTCCTCCTATATCCCAAAAGCTAGCTGAAATTGCAAGTGCTAAAGTTACAAGGACACAAGAATCAGCTACAGCCAAGTTCAAGATGTAGGTGGTGATGGGATTCTTCTTCATGATGAAGCAGAGAAACCAGATGACAATTGCATTCCCCACCAGGCCACATATGAATATTGCAAGGGTAATAATGAAAAGACAGGCAAAGAGAAACAGGTAATGTGTGAAGGAAGCAAGTTCAGATTCATCATCTTCCTCTGGAATGCTGAAGGGCTGTAGTCTCCAGAAAACCCATCAATGGTTAAACCAAGTGATGCTGCTGTGCTCTGCTCAGCCATAATGAAATCTTTTCTTTTGGGTTCTTCCTTCTTCCCTGTTCTCTGCACTATGTCTGCAAGCAGAAGGATGAGGATCAGAAGGGATAACCACTAAAAGCAAGTGCCTACACAATTCCAGTATGGAAAGCTTCTAACTCACTTGTTATAGGTAGCCCAGGAAAGAAATTAGCACTACTCACCTGCTACAGCTTCAAGAAGAAGAACAGAAATATAGAATTGTCGAATCTGAAGGGATCATTCACTCCAACCCCCTACAATGCAGGAAAACATTTTGGGCAAAATAAAGAAGAGCTTCATAGAAGAGGCACAAGACTCCCAATGCATATAAGAAATAACTTTCGTTAACACAGTCTTCTCTGCCCCTTCCTCTATGATGGTATCTCAGCCAACTGTTGTAACGGTTTATCAGGCTAAAATTATCAGGGTCGAGAGAGGAAGATAAATTGTACGCAAGTTCTGAGATGGCATGACTTCAAACAAGCCTCCAAAAGTCTGATGTCATCCAGATTTTTTGGACTACAACTCCCACCATGTTGTGCTGGATGGGAGTGGGAGATGTAGTTCCAAACATCTGGAGGGCACCAGGTTGGGGAAAGTTCCTTAAACAAAGGAATGGAGTTGATCCTAAAGCAAGGGTGCAATGTTCTTAGATGGCAACTCAGATGTGTCTGAGGACAGCCTCTAGCAGCAAAATGTCTCAGCACCAATCCTGAAAAGGCCTTCAGGTATCATTGTAACGATGTTCTTTTTTTCTTGACTACCCTTGTATTTAAGGTTGCCAGCAAATTTGGAAAAGATTAGAACAGATGGCCCTGTAGTTGTGTGAGCACAAGTTGTTCAATGTGGACACATCAACTAGTTTAAGTTTTCATAGCACAAAGATAATGGATTACAGCCAAAGGATGCAGTGGAACATCTTCTGCAGTGGAGTCTGCAGAGTCTTTAAGGAATGTGGTTTCTTTACTCATATTTACACCTGAGCTTAGTTGGAGGGAGTGCAGAACCTCCCTCCCCAAGAGTGTCTCTTGCTGCTTCTCTCATAGCTTCAGTCAGCTGGAGTCCAGAGCAGTCAGCTATGCTCGCCAGTCTCTAGGTTGCAGCGTGCACTCATGTAGTTCTCACCTTTGTTCTTTTTCCTCTTCCCAGAACATATCCAGGAATATATAGGAGGGAATCTGACACACAGGGATCTGGGGATACCTTGTTCCCCCACAAACCTGTAACAATATTATTTGTGGTGAAACCAGGTTGGATTGGAGATACAGGAGGTTCTGCCAGGAGACCAGATGGCTTTTACAGCAGTTCAAGCTTCACACGTAATGACCAGGTGTGTTAAATTCATTTTCACCCCAAGGGTGTGCAGAGCTTCCAAAGGGATGGAGTTGAAATGAATCCTGCTTATGTCTTTGAA